CTAATTAAAGTCAAACTCTTCATAAAAACCCCAAAACCCCAAAACCCCTCAAGACAAAATTAATAAGATAGATTACAAGAATGAGGTTATATTATTAACATTTGAAATTTAAAAAATGAGAGTTCATTTCAAGATGCTATTTTTAATTTATCTTACTGTCTTGGGTGTCTAGCTAGTATTACTATCAGAAGCTAGATAAACAGAAATACTGTTAGAAAGAAATGAAAACATAAAATATGGAGAAATAAAGACTTATAATATTAGTTTGAGTAACTATAACATGAGTTAAAGTGATTTCATGGTCTAAATTGATGTAAAATACTAATGCTCAAAAGTAAGGGATATTAGTTAAATTTATATTTTAACATAGGGTTGTGATAAGCAATTGGAAATAAATTCATTTAGAAACGGTGATCCTCATGATTTTATATTAGAAACTGTGTCAACAAATGGTAAAAATTATTTTTTACCTTTAAAATAGATGGAGATAATGCTGAGATGGCATTTGCGTGGACACCTTGTCTCTCAAATATAACAGATAATTTGACACTTCAGATTAGAAATTTGAGAGAATCTGTGAATGTTAAAGTTGCCTATTAACTGTTGCAAATCTAATAATTTAGTTTTGCCTGTAGCTACTCAATTCTTCAACCAGAAAGCAGATAATTCCATGGATTTACCTACCAGTAAAATGGTGATGCATGGCTATTTGGTGGTATTAATAATAAGAACCAGACCTTAGGAGATTTTTGGAAACTTGATACAGATTCAATGTCTTGGGAACATATAAGCTAGACTTAAATTGACTCTTCAAAAATAACATTTGAAAGTTTTCCAGAAGCAAGATATGGCCATATAATGGAAACTTATTATGACTACATAATTTTATTTGGGGGTATCAACTAAAAAAGTGAACTATTAAATGATCTATGGATTTACAGTGTTAAGAAAAGTAGCTATATTAATATTGATTAACATTTATTCTTTAGGTTAATGGCAGAATATCAAAACTTAGAAATCATAAATTTCTGCAAACAAGGTAGCTTATGCTTCTGGAAAAGTTGCTGAACAAGAAGGTTAGTTATATATCTTATGTGGTAAGACTACTAATGGTCCTACAAATGAAGTCTGGAGGCTAGATTTAGAGAAAGTCATACAATATGTCGAGAATCCCCTCAGACACTTAAATAAAACTTAAATTTGGTCTCAAATAGCACTTGAGACTCCCCTAAGAAGCAGATATGGACAACAATCTGAATTCATTTTTCCAAATACAATACTAGTAATGGGAGGAATAGGTGAGAATCAAGAGAATATTTAAGAAATATAATAAATTTAGCTAAATGAACTAAAGGTATATTCAGTGAAGAAAAAGTTCTCTGGTGAATTTCCAGAGCCAAGAGCTTTCACAGATATGACTCATATTAGTGGGGGTATGCTAGTTCTATATGGAGGTTAAAACTCTCAAAATCAAATATTTAATGATTACTGGCATTTGAAGCTTGACATTTAAAATCATTAGATAGAAGCTTTTCAAATATAATAAGAAGATTATTTAACACCTATTGGGAAAGCCCTTCAAATAAGGCTTACTCCGTAGATTATCATTCAAAAAAATTAAGATTTACCAATTATTTATGGCTCCTCTAGACCATAATATTATTTTGATAGCTCTGATCTCTTAATGGTAAAGGATTAGAGATGCATATCTACACAAGAATAAGAATCTTTAAACTGCATTCCCTGTGGAATAGGATCTTAACTAAATAATAAAACATGCCAGCCATGTGATCTGAATAGCTATTGGGTATTTGATTAACAAGTTGGATCAAGATGTGAAATATGTCCAGATGGTACAGAGCGATCTCAAAATTAAGTTTTTGGATGCGATCCTTGTTAAGCAGGGTTTTTTTACAAAAATTCAACAGTAAGATGTAAAGCCTGCAAATTAGATGAGATTTGCCCTATTGCTAGTGCAACTGCTTTCCCTGAAAATCTTGAACCGGAGTTCTAAAAGATTACTCATAGAAATGACCCTCCTCTCTACCAAAATACTTCATAAATGAGTAAATACAGTTACTATTAAATGCAATTTTAGTTGATCACTCGCAGAAAATTTTGTTCTTTGTAGCTGTGATTATCTACACACTATTTTTTACAATAGTAGGAACATGTGTATTTTTTAATCAAAGGAAAACAATCAGAAGACTATACACTTGGGATTTTATTCCCATAACTAGTGGTACTAAATAAAATTTTGTTGGGGGTATAATTACAGTCCTCTATTCTATGACAATTATTATTCTAGTATCTGGAATCATTGTAAGGAATTATAATTCTATTTACCCTTTATTATAGATTAAATACTTATTTTTCAACAAGAGAATCGAGGGAACCTAATTAGCAGGATTTGAAAAAACTAAAGATATTCTTGTATCATATCAACTAAGTTTATAGCTTTATGCCTCTTAATATTCTGAAAGACCGTTCGACATTTGCGATTTATCGCAATCCTATCTTAATCTAACTTCATCATATCATTATGAGACGGCAAAAATGAAAATTAAGTGTACTCAGCAATCTTATGACCCACTAGGTAAAATAGGCTAGAAGAGAGTTAAGGCGTAGAGTCTTTTATATAATATCAAAATTATCTGCGAGGATTGTGTAAAGAAAGATCCTACCAACTCTCATATTGAAATAGCTATTGGCTAGCTTAATGAATTTGAAAAGTAGAGCTTTTATATTCATTTCTTCCAGTGGGAATTCAGTAGTATCTGGTCAAAAGAAGTTGATGAAGCAGAATAGTGCGAGGGTTGTTCATAGGTAATAGGGTTTACAACACCAGATTCATCAGACCAATAAGATTTCAATTTCTAGGAAACATTTAGAGGTGACTAACCAACAGTGGTGAGCATTTTGCTCACCCCCACATTTTATTAGAATATGATTGATGAAATAGAACTCACAGGTTACAGAGCTCATCTCTAGAATATTGAAAAAGGGTAAACTGTCAATTATAGACAGGCAATGAAGATTGATAATCAAACTCTCAGGTAGACAATTGGCCATTCAGAAGTTAATGACTAATTTAAAATACAATTCTAAATGAGTCTCTCTTCAAACATCTATTAGATCAGAGTTATATAGTTGAAAAATATTCTAGAGGCTTTGGCAGAGGTGATGGGATTCTTAGCAGGTTTTTCATTTATTGCGAGATTTAGCAAGCACATCCTAGTTGCAAATAAAGTGGGCAAAATATATGATAAGTAAATCGAGGATCATATGGCAAAAGTGTAGCAAATTAAGAATGACAAGATGAGTGAAATAAGTCTATCTAGTTCCCCCAAAAAGAATGTTGACATTTATCTCAATGGAGTTAAATAGGTAAGTTCTTAGCGAAGAGAGGCATCTACTTCACCGTACAGAATAAGAAATAAGGCTGCTAGTGAATATGATGCCAACTTGCAATTTGGCTTAAACCCTATCACTGATAGAAACAAAAACAAAGATTCTTAATTTAAAAGAAAGAAATACGACAAGAATGTAGCAGACTCAGAACAAAGTCCAGAAAAAGAATCCAATTTGAGCGTCAGAGCCCCAGAAAGAAACTAAGTAATGACAAGAACAGAAATTCCTTAATAAAACTAGAAAAATAAATTTGGCAGTGATGATGACGACGAGATTGAGGACAATTTCAAAATTTTCTATGGAGATTTAAGACATAAGAGGGTATGAGATATGTGATCAATTTTGATTACTTTAAATGTTAATCTTAATTTAATAAATTAGTATAATAATGAATTCGTGGTATTAAATTAGTATATTAATTTAATATGAACAAACTAAACACAACAAAGCAGTCTCTTGCTCTATTCAAAAGCACTCTTACTCAAAATATTCTACTCCAATCTTCAAGCCAATGTAACAACAAAATAATTTTTACTTATTCAATTAATAGGCAGGAGTTTTTCGTCTAAAAAAGATAATTCACATTAATAAAATGATAAATTTCTTACTTTCTAGAAGCTTCACTAATAAAAAAGAAGCAATGCTAAATCTGGATCATTCTCCAGGTAAAATAAATTTCTTTTAAATTAGAGTAGTATATTGGTGGGAATGGCTGGAGCATCATTATTCTTAGGGATGACTAATGAAGATGTTAAAAGACAACTCGGACTTTAATTATTTGATAAAACACCTGCAGAGTGTGGAAAATTCATGGACAAACATCTTGAGGGAGCAATTAATTAACTCGATGTTGGCATTAAAGAAATTGAAGCAAGATATCCTGGGATTCAGAAACCAAACATGAGTTATGGATTAAGAGGGACTAGATACTACATCGAATTTCCAATTACTGGAAGGAATATAGACGCTTTTAGCATTCTGACTAAAACCTAATAACTTCTTAAGTCATCAGAGAATGATTGTGGATCAAGAGTCATATCAACAGATAGCTTTATTCAGGGTGAAAATATTTCATACCTGATTGATTATGCAGTTAACTCTACAACAGCCCTTGGTTCAAAAAGCAAAGGAAGTATCTATATCAGAGGAATAAAAGAAGAAGGGGGCTTTGACTCTTATAAATTTATTCTAGAAAAAGGATTTGACTTCCATGATCTTGACATTAAGTTAATTCTCAAAGCTTATGAAGAGGCATTCAAACCAAAACAAAATCAAATTGAGTATAACCAAAGATAGTAACAAGATGATTCGATAAAGAGACCAATTAGACAGAGAGGCTAGAGTCCTTAGCAATAAAATCAAGGATATTTAGCAGGACTTGTCGGCAACTAGAATTAATAACAGTAAGAGGACACTAGTCCTTAAGCATCCCTTCAAAAGCTTGGATGTACATTGTTCCTCCCAGATCAAAGAAATAATAAGCTTGATTGGGATTATCTAGCTGGATATGATAAAGTAAAGAGAGATATTGAGGATACTGTACTACTAGCACTAACTCATGGTCATGTTTATGATCAAATCACTTAGAAGACAAGAATGAAGAATGAAACGAATAGACCAAAGTGTGTTCTCTTTGAGGGTCCTCCAGGTTGTGGTAAAACCACCTCAGCTAAGATCATCTCTTAGCAAGTCAATATCCCTCTGGTGTACATGCCATTAGAGGCTATCATGTCTAAGTACTATGGTGAAAGTGAGTCTAGACTTGCTGAGATTTTTGAAGCAGCTGCAGCAATGGGTTCAGTTATTCTTTTCATTGATGAAATTGATTCCTTAGCCACTTCAAGAGAATCTGGTCTTCACGAAGCAACAAGAAGAATTCTTTCTACATTATTGAGAAAGATTGACAGTTTTGAATCAGATGGAGAAGTTCTAGTAATCTGTGCAACTAACAGAAAGAAGGATCTTGACCCAGCACTCATCTCTAGACTTGATTTAAACATTAAATTTAACTTGCCAGACGCAAGTACTAGAGCTCTTATTTTCTAAAGATACGCAAAGTAACTCTCTGAAGAACAGCTAAAGGAGCTTGGAGAACTAACTATTAACCTTTCTGGAAGAGATATTAGTGATATTTGCAAAGATGCTGAGAGAAAATGGGCTTCAAAATATATAAGAAAAGAAGTATCATCTCTGATACCTGAGATCTCGGTTTACATTGAAAGTGCTAAGCATAGACTAGAGTCGATGCAAGATTCTAATCTCAGAATGGACAAAAATGTTGGAGATTTCCATTTTCCTAACTAGCCCTACCCTCCAAGACCTACTGCTTATGGAAGTGCTTGAAACATTAATAATTATTTAACAAATATTCATCAACTAGCTTTATCATATTGTTCGGGGTTTTGGGGTTTTGGGGTTTTGGGG